CGCGCGCCCCTCCTCCTCCTCGGAGTCCCAGCCAGAGCTAAGGAAACTCCTGGGCGGCTTTCTTGGGCTCTTGCTCCGCTTGGCGGAAAATCTGACCCAGACTCTGCCTCCAGCGGCCCCCAGGTAAATTGAGTTTGAGACCCATGCTACAGTATGTATGTATGTATGTATGTATGTATGTATGTATGTATGTATGTGTGTGTGTGTGTGTGTGTGTGTGTGTGTGTGTGTGTGTGTGTGCGTGTGTCTATGTGTGTATGTGTGTGTATGTGTGTGTGTGTATGTATGCATGCATGCATCCATGTATGTATGGATGCATGCATGCATGCATGCATGCATCCATCCTTCCTTCCTTCTCCTTGCTTTTGAATCACACAACAACCACACAATTCTGTTAATTTATTTTCTGAGATAGTTGTGCATCTCAAAGCTTAGAAGAGTACCCCCGCCCCTGGGCATCTGCTAATTAATTGCACAGAAAGAGAATTTCCCTGCTTACTCTTTATAGATCACATAGGAAGCTTCCTCTCAAAGAGTCACATCTTTGATCTAGGTCAAGCTACAAGTAAATCAAGTTATTTTTGCCGCAACAGTCCAGCTAGCTCAATACTGTCTATTGAATGAATGGCCACAGTTGTTCAAAGTTTCAGCATGTAACATGGGATTATGGCATGTAAAAGATGTGCTTGATGACTGAACTACCACTACCTAAGTCTGGCATCTAAGAAGTTATTCTGCTTGTGTAGTCAGCAGGTTCCACTTAATGTTAAGCTGTTATTTCCCAATCCAATTCAGTACTTTCTAATCAAACTCCAAACCTTGTACACTAAGATTTTCGAAGGCAGCTCAGTGACTTGCCTTATTTTAGATTTTGATGTCAAATTTTAATCAATGTTCCTTTTAAGCTTCTTAGACACTTGTGTAAGCAAACAATTTTAAGCATGTCAGCTGGCCCAGAAAGGAGAATTCTCTTGTTCTTAAGACCATTAGTATAGGAAAGCTATAGCAGATTAAAATACTGTTGACATCTTTGTGAGAGTCAGGTTATGATGACTGCTAGAATACTGACTACATGAGGTCTCTACTTTAAAAGGTTTAAGCAGCATATTCAGAAGACAAAACAAATTTGCACAGACATCTGGACAACTTCAGTCAGAAAAAGTTATGGTGTGGTTAAGTTTAGAAAAGTTACTCTGAATCCTTCAAAAATCCATCAGCCAGCAGGACTACTGAAAACTATAATAATAATAAAACCTCTTCCAAACTCTGTAGATTGCCAATTGTTGTGATGGCAACAGAAACACACGGGAGAAATTAGGAGTTGGTGATCACAACAGTCTGAAGATGAGAATACACTTTTTAAAAAACAATGTCTTTCTAAAAATGGTAATTGTTAAGTGGGAGGTAAGAATGGAGTTTAGGTACAAATCAGTAATTGCAGACTCCAGAATACATGTTTTTCTCTGCCTCTTTTCCCATGCTCTGAATCTGTTCTACAATTTTCACATCATGCAGTACAGAGAGAAAATAAAATTGGAAAGTCAAATATGTACTGCACATTGATCACATTGGGTACATAGCACATCTTCAAAGCTCTGTGCTAAAAATATCAAAAAAGCCTAGGAATTTTCATTCTTGGCATGTTCTCCATCCTATGGAAAAGGGATATGTGATGATGGCAAAGAATTGCACTACAGAAGAGTACTGTACTGTTAATCCATAAAAGTATATAGTTTCAAAAACCTGGCTGCTGAAGGGGGTGGAAGGCTGCAGAGATGTAAGCAGGAATTTTTGAAATACTGTACACAGTAAGCTACCACACACATGACAGTTTTCCTTTGTATAATCTCCTTCATAATGCAGAAAGCTGGAATGTGACTGGCTTTCCTGTGTGACAAATGAAACCAAGATAGTGTTTCTATGATATAGTCTGGAGCACAATACATTAAGTAAAATATGTTTATTCCACCTTACATCCACAGATATCAGAGAGAGCTCTTTGATTACAGCCAATAAAACAACAATAGTAACTTTAATACTATTTGAACAGTGCAGCTTAATCAAAACTAAACCCACAAACTAACAGGACCATTCTCATACAATAAAATGGAAGGGCATTACATCACCAGATTTTTACTGCTTAGTATGTAGTAACATACAATGTTTCATAGGCCCAGGGCTATAAAGCTACCAAGTACATTTGAGCACCCTTCACCAACAACCTCCACAGGTGAGATAACAGACTTGTATTAAGCACTCAGTAAAGGTTCCGATGCTATCATTATTCCTTCAAATCTTTCCTTACTTTTAAAACATGTGAGAATAACAGATTATGCCATCTTTTACTGAGTCTACCCTGTCCAATCTTTTGCCACCATATTGAAGAAATGAAAATGAGATTAAGACTTGGAAGGGCAGCCATGAAGGAAAGAAAAGATCCTTAAGAAGAAGAATGTATTACAGGAGATCAAGGTCAAGATCTTTCAGACTATGATATTCTCAGTTACTGTGTATGGGTGCAAAAGATAGACAATGAAGAAAGCTGGTGGGAGAAAAAATTGATTCTTCTAAAATGCGGTATTGGAGACGAGCTTCACATATACCATAGGCTGCCAAAAAGATGAATAAGTGGTTAAAGATCAAATCAACACTACCCTCTTCCTAGAAGCTAAAATGACTAAACGGAGATTATCCTACTTTTGACATAAAACACTGTTGATTATAGGACCTTTCAGAAGTAATTAATTCACAGGGCCACTCAAGAGGGACTTAAAGGCACATGAAAGACACCTTCATCTCTCTTACACTTATATTACAGATAGGTATGGCAATGGGAACAGCTACACTTAGTGAATTTGAGAAAGAATTTCAACTAATTTTTATCAGCATTTACAAATTTATTCACATTTGAAACAAAAAAAGATTTAAAAATATGAAGGTTTATAAAGTGAGTCCCTGCTGCCTTAAAAATCTTGTTTAAAAAAATTCTGATATATCGCTAAAGTGGCATATACATGCTGTTTTCCTGTCAATTCTAATTGTTAGTTAAAGTGCCACCTAGTGTCACTAGATAAATTTAGGTAGTGTTAAAAAGGGCTTAAATTGTTGAAAAGCTAGAGGGGGATATTAACTATAAGTCACACAAAGGTGAGAATGATGGTTGCAATAGGGAAGGCATCGGATAAGTGATACATTGGTAAACAGTTGTGGAGGGAAAAAAATAAAAGAAAAAGTAAGTGATTTATCACTAAGCATTTAAAAAAATTAAGGGTAAAAAAAGGCAGTGGTCACAGCGCCCCAAAGAACCTGACCCATTTGTAAAGTAAATAAATTGACAGCAATGTTCACATGCGCTAAAACAATAAGGATTGAAGTGATATAGGGATTGGATCATTTTTAAGAAGCCAAGCTGGTGGGGTGGTAAAAAAACCTTACTGCCTGGCCAGATGAATCAATATTACCCATGTAAACAAAAGTTTATAAAATGATTTAAATAACAGCAGAATTTATGCAAGTGGTGTCCTTTTGGCATGTAAGACTGCACCCTGACAGATTTTTCCATCCCTAGTTTTGATGGCAATGCCCCTCAACTTGAATGTAAAGAAATCTGGAGAAAAGAGCCAAAAGCTTGCATTTGTTTCACTACAAATCAACAAAGTCTTAAGTCTCCCATATAATATTGAAGGGGGGGGAACCCCGCATCTTAAAACAGTCTGCTGATTTTGCATTTCAGATTTCCATCCAACTATTTTGCCAATAGAAAACGCTGCCTCTTGTTTCCTTGCATTTATATTACAGAAGGGAGTGGGCAGCACCATTGAAACCACACCAATTTATATAAGAAACTTTGGAGCAGCCTTCGGAAGTCTTTCTCAAACCTCTTTCCAACTGTTCCTCCTACCTTTTTTCTTTCCAGTGCTTCCAGACATGAAAGTAACTGGCAACTGACCTAGCCCTTAAATTATACTGAGAACCTCTTTGTGCTGAAATAGATCAACAATTTGGGATGAATAAAAAGTTGACCTGATATCCCTCCTCAAGGATTTAACAGAGCCCTGAACAGAAGAATCAGGGTCCCCCTTTACCTTCTATGCAGAACAACAGGAACTGCACAAAGGGCCTCAAAGAGAACGAAATTTAAGGGCCAAAACTTGTCCAGCAAGCCATGACAAGCTAATGTGCTGTGCAACAGCGGAGAAGTAACTTAAAAACCTTGTTGTTCTGAAGGAATCAGAAGTGCCTGCCAGGAAACCATGAGCCACGTTTCTTTTCCTCCACACCCCACTAGTTTCTAGGAGTCTGCCTACCTTTTCTTTTTAACATAACCTCAACAGCATGTGCTGTGCAGGCAGACTCCTCCTTCCGCAGCAGCCCTCCCACTGAAGCGCGCGGGGGGGGGGAAGGAGGAAAAATAGAAAAGCAGAAGGAGCTTCCTTAGCTCTAGCTGCTCCTTCCGCCTCCTCTTTTTTCTTCTTCTTTCTTTTCCTCCTCCTTCTTCATCCTCCTCCCCTTTTATCCGCCTCCTTCTGCTGGCTGGGGCTTTTGTTTTTCCTCCTAGCTCTCTTGTTTTCCACACGTGACTGCTGTGTTGTTGCACCGAGCGCGCGGCGGGGCGAGGGCACCTATAAATGCTAATAACTTTGGCCCAGGAGAGAAGAAGAAAGGGGAAAAAAAGAGGCAGGAGCAAAAAGAAGAGAAGGGGGCTGCCGGTGAGGGTGGCGGCGGCGGCGGCGGCGGCAGCGGCCGACCTCGGGCGCTCTCCTCATGCAGGCAGCCAGAGGGGGAAGGAGGGAAAACATGCCGCCCAAGCCCAAAGCCCACCTCTTCTTCGCAGGGTCCCGGTCAGAGTTTAGACAAGCTACTCTAAATCTATCCAGTGTCAGAGCCGAGTGTAGGATGAGTTTTAGACTATTTCTAGTCTCCCTTAGTTATACAGTCTATTTATGTGCATGTCTCTCCTAGCCAATGCATATTGTAATCTATACTTGAGATGGGCAGCACATTCCACCAGCAGCTAGAGCCCTGCCTGAGGAAGGCGCCGCCGCCGCTGCGCATGGACCCCCGGCGCAGGCAGGCAGCGCTGTCTTTCCTCACCAACATCTCTCTGGATGGGCGACCGGTGCTGCAGGACGAGGAGGGCGGAGGAGGCGGCGGCGGCGAAGAGAACGAGCTCGGCGCTGCGACCGTTGCGAGGACACCGGCGGCGGCGGCGGCTGCAGCCTGCAATAGCAGCAGCGCGAGGACTCGGCAGAGCCTGAGCGCCTTCCAGTCGCCCGCCCCGCACCATCATCACCCGCAACCGCAGCAGCCGCCGCCACCACCCGGGGCTTGCCCCAGCGCCTACAGCAGTAGCAGCAGCAGCAGCTGCAGCGCCAGGCCGATGGGCCCCTTGGGAGCGGCAGGCGAGCAGCAGGAAGACGAGGACGGGGACGAAGACGCCTTCGCCGACGTGCAGGTGCCGGGCCCGGCTCCTTTCCTGGGCTCCTCCGGAACCCCCTGCGCCAGCGGCACCCGGGGTCGCCTCAACTCCTTCACTCAGGGAATCCTGCCCGTCGCCTTCGCTAGAACCGTCCCGCAGAATTATGGCTGTCTGGAGCAAGGTCAGGTGGGCACCAGCGCCTTCGAGCTGCAGAGGTCCCGGTAAGTGAGGGGGGACTTTATCCGCGTAGGGGATCCATCGCCAGGGCCTTGGAGGGATCTCCAAGCTGCAGATGCCAAGGCATTTCGCTCTGTAATGTCCTTTAAGAGCCAGGAGGTTCTAAAGTGAAACTCTAGCCAAAACTCTGGACGAAGACATTAGGAGAGAATCGATAGACAGATAACTGTGGGCAGTCATAATGACTCCTGAACACCTTTAATGAGATGTCTCCATTGGCAATCAAGAGTTTATTTTCTTTCTACCTGTATTACCTGTCAATGCATATGTGTAGATTGATCCTTTGCCTATGGGCTTGGCTCATCTCTATCCATAGAAGGACCACCCTGTTCCTTGTTTTGCACAGAACTGTGGGTTGTTCCTTGGGACTAATGAGCTTAAGAGTACAAATGTGAGATGTTTTTGTAAGACATACAAGATATGATATGTACAGATTGTACCACATTGTTTAGTGCTTATCACATTGTACACTCCTTGCTTAAGCCACCCAAATGTGTAAACTGTTAAGGCCCAGATTCCTCCACCTTCATTCTGAACAACATCTGGTATGTTGCTACCTGTATACAAATGTTAAGCATTATGTTGAAGTACTAAATTTAAATTCAATTTCAAAGTTTACCTGCTTTGTTTCTCCCCCACGTGGCACAGTCTGTCTGGACTTGAGAACTAGATTGCTTCCCAGGTGTCTTGCTTGGAATGTTAGTTTATTTATATTTAAATACCTGTATATATCAAGCCTTTCTATTTGGATCTGAATAGATCCTAGCAAAATGTCCACATTTGAGAATTCAGCCAGATTATACTGCATTTTCAAGTTCTTTACATGGGTGAGTATTTGAAATGAAGGTGTCTTAAACATGGTAAAAAGTGAAGGAGCAAGATGCGGAGTGACAACAAATGCACATGTCACTTCACAATTTCCTCTTTGATGGCAGGAGGGGTTGCTGCCCTCCTGTCTGTGGTCACCGAAGCAAACAAAGTGCACTAAATTCTGTTGGTGATACAAGGGTGGTTTCACAGTCAGGGTGTACTGCTAGTGTGTGATTTGGTCTGGAAGATTTAATTTTGTGCTGTTCTAGTCTGTGGAAATAAGGTCTTAGTGTGGTTTAGAGCAATAACAGAGAATAATTGTTTTAATTGCTTTACTGAAAGCTTCTATGTGTCACCTTTGAGTTGCACAGTGAAGTATTGGAGTGGGAGCTGTATCGATGTGTTTTATCCAGATTCTACTTGTGTTGATTAAAAACATAACATCAAAAGAAGTATGTGAAAAGCATAAATAAAAGCGTATCAATAAAAATATATAGATAGTTTGTAAGAATTTGCACCATTTTAGACAGCATATGAGCTTACATGCTGATGGCCTACCTAAATAAAAATGATTTTGCCAGCAGGTAAAAGGATAAGGGTGGAGGGCGGAGGATGTGGATCTATCACATTAGCACCCACTCCACCTAATTCCTTAACAAAGCATAAACCTGAATATCTCTTCAGAAGCATTGTGTGACTCTCTGCTCAGGCAAGCTTTTGCAGGTTGATTGCATTTCGGAAATTTGTATCAGGATATCCATTACTGTACTGTTAATTTCATTTTTTTTTTTGGCCTATGGGTAATACCTCAATAGTAAACACACTTATCTTATTGAACGTACAGTAGTAGGACATTACTCAGTACTATGTCAGGCCAAAGGATTGAACATTGCTGGATGGATTGAAGATCAAATGACATCACCTTCCTGAGGATGAAGAGGTGAATTTGTAACATGAAACCCAAGCAAAATCCCTTTGTTCTAGGCATCCCTGCTACAAATTCAAAACCTGGCATTGGCTTACCTTTTTTTGTTTGTTTGCAAGCATAAATATGCATGTGGTTTTAAATAAATGCTGCGGAAGGTGTTTGCTTTTCCATTGGGATGAGATTTTGTTACATGCCTCTAAAATAGCATTAGGTATGTTTTAAAATCATAAATGCTGTTGACTACTAGGCGTCCAAAGGACACATCCCTCTTTCTTAATTCTTGATGTTTAGCTCTCTAGTTAAGATGCAGAGCCATAGCAAGCTGTTTCAATGTCCAGAGGAGATCCTACTGTTATTTTCTGCTTAATAACGGCTTTTCATAATAGGTGGAACACCTTCCATGAGACAAACGTATAGAGAAATGCTGTTCAAACTTTGCACACTCAAAGAGAATGCTAGTGATGATACAGAACCTAATACTCTTCACCTTTGCTTGTCCATCTGATAGCACTGATGTCAGCATTGGGATTTAGTACTTTATGCAGAGATTTAAAAAATTCCTCTTCATTAAGGAATGAATGGAGACTCTTCATTCTCAAGGATTGAAACAAAAATAATTAGAACCAGGTGGGCATTGCTGCAGGGTCCAGGTGGTGAATCTGACAGGCTGCTATCTAAAGTAATGTGTGCATCTTACTAATCAGCAGTATTTTCTTTTGTCCATGAACCGCCTCAAAATCTGATATCTTAATCTCTTCATTTATTACCTTGTTTTGTCCTGCATTACACATCAGCTGATGCACCACCCCTTAACTCCCATTCTGTTCTTCAATCCCGATCTCTCTTTAATAGGAAGCTGTTACAGCATGTTTGTTTAAAGTGGAAGCACTCTGTTTACCCAGTTGAAAGATTTTAAAAAAGCCCTATCTTGTAGGGAGGGATTAATGAATAAATAACAAGCTTAAGTGACAAATCCTGCACAGATAACTGGCTGTTCAAACTCTCCTAAATGTTTTGAACATGATTAGACCTTAACAAAAATAATTAACAGAAGAGTGGGCATTCAGCTGCCACAGGACCATTTAGGCGTTATAGTTGAAATCATATGATTGTGTTTGAGCTGTGTTAATAGTCTAGCTGATCTGAGTACAGGGAATAACAAGTCAAGTGAACATCCATAGGGTCCCATTAGTTTTGATAATAACTATTTCCCTTTATGCGGAGGCATACAAAGACAAATCTGAATTTTAATTATTCTAATATGTGATTATATAGTATGCAAATTTAATTCTGCATATGTATCTGTTTATTGTGGTTTATTTCTTTGACATGATGGGGATGCATTTATTGATGAATTGTCCTGTGGAGATCTTTCAGAGTGAATTCTTCACAGTTGAAGGACAAGATATGGCAAGCAGCATAGAGACAAGCGGTGGGAAAAAGACAACAGACTATTTTTTATAAGCACAAAATGGAGAGAGTTAAGATAGGAAGTGAAATAAAGAAATAAAAATACAAAATAAAGCCAAAACACCCATCCTAGTAACAGAGTGAAAACTCAGATATATTGGACAATAGGAGACAATTACTATTTGTCTCAATTGTCACCTATCTTCCCTCCAAGGGACTACCATTTATTTTTACCATATCTGTCTTGATATGAGAGGGAGAGAAGAATGCACATGTGTCTTATTCTACCCACTGAGCTTAACAGCAGAATGGAACTAATTTCATTGATGGAAACTTTGCTTTCGTCCTTGATGCCAAACTGCCTCACAGTTACGAGTTCTGCTGTTTCACTTGTTCTCCCAACTCACCTTACACTTTATGTTACTTTTTCCCCCCTAACGGTTTTGACTGTGCTTCTTAAAGCTTGAAGATTTTGATTAGTCCTCTCACAAGAAAACCATAATTACTTCTCGTTTTATGTGTTTTTAGTGGTGCTCCAGTGGCAGTGTTCTAGGAGCCATGTTTTAAAGTTTTTCTTCATTGATTTAGAAGACAGATGTATATCCTGCCTTTCTGTTAGAGTAATGTGCAACTAGTAGCTTGCCAGAGGAGCTTGCAAATATTTGTAATCACTCATCAAATGTTTTTGTGTGTCTTTATACATGCACAGAGATGTACTTCTCAAATCCTTAGAAGTCTTTTAGTCAATGGATGTAGGTGGCGTGATCTCTTCAGTGCTTCAGGACATGGAGACATGTGATCTTTCTGACCGAGAAGGGAGTCAGCTATTGACTTCTGCAGCTGCTGCTGCTGTAGCTGATGGAAAGGCTATATTAGCCTCTGTCATGCTGTGGTTCCCTTCTTGAGTGGCTGTGGGTGCCACCTCCCAGTGGCATGTGGTCACCTGGCCTTTGGCAAAAGCTAGAGTGCCGTGGTATAGTGTGACACATGTCTGCTTTAAATTAGTTGTGATTAAGACAGGCTTGGATATGACCAACTGTTTCCATTGCTTTTTCTGGGATTTAGTCACATGACAATAGGTTTCTACCCTAACTGTGATATACGTATTTTAACATAAATCGCAGTTAGAGTAGGTCGATTTGAATCATTGGAACTTATCTAGTGTAATTTACTACTACACTAAACAACAGGATTTTGGTCATAGTATTCTGTATTATTTCTTTGTTTAATGCAGACTGCCATTTTGCCAATTAACTACACTCACCCACCACCTTGTATATACCTTTAAAGTTAAGCGGCTTCAAGCATTTTTAGGCTCCCAGGGGCAAATTGAAATTTGAAAAGTGTCTTGGATTCAAGTGGTGGGTGAGGTTTATGGTACAATATGACGGCAAGGACACAGTTGATCGGACCCCTGCAAATGAGTCAGGACCAGGTGTGAATCTACACAATCTCATATGCAGATCACAGCTCAGTTCTGTGCATACCTATTCAGGAGGAAGTCTGTGTGCAACAACTGTTCTGTCTGTAGACTCAGCTCAGTTCATAGCATAGTGTTTAAAGCTTAAATGCTAGACTGTGTCTGATTGCTACTTGAAAATAATAGCAGAAGATGCTTAGGGCCAGTGGGAAACCCCACGGCCTTCATCTATTTCACATTGCTGGAGAATTGCTATCCCTGATTTTACTTTGTGTGCCTTAAGAACATATCACAGATTTATTATATTCACTGAGATACTGGTTTTGTGCTGCTTTTTTTAACATGTGGCATGTGCTGTCCTTTTTCTAAACAGGCTGCTAACAAAATACTGCTAAGTATTTCAGTGTAAAGCGTAG